CATTTAAATTACTTCATGGATTTCTGAAAAGTATCTGCAGATGGCAGTTTGAGATTGGGATACAAAGAAAGTAGGCAATCTGCCCCACTGTCTGAGGAAACAAATAAATTCTTGATTACAGCTCCTAGCTATCCCTTGAATTACTTTCAGGGTCTTTTTCCTCCACCGTTCTACCGAAATGGATTCGTTTTTCTGACATCAGTCTTAAATTTTCCTCTCATCAGCTTAGAAAAACTTCTCCTGGAGCTCATATTTACTTTGAACTAATGTGCCAGATTAAACCTCTCTGGAATTTAGTAGATCCACTCTCAAACGCTTAATTCATAGATAAAATGCCCAATTTTTCCAGACTTTGTTCGTAACTTAATCACGTGGTGATAAAGACCAAGTCTTCTGGTTCTCTTCTGTACCACGCCTGTGGCTTGAACAGGTCTCTTACGTTTCAGTACAAAACCAGACATGCATGCTTGGGTGTAGTCTGACCACAATACCATATAGTTTCAGTCTGCCACGCTCCAGATTTATACGCTATTGATTGAACACAGTCAGCGTTCTACTTGATCAGTTTATTTTTGCTCTACAATTGCTAGATATGCAGACAGGAGGCTTTAAGCATTTACCTGCCTTTATATTCTCCATCCTGTAAAAGCACGGGGGAACAGGTTGGAGACACTGAAAAAAACGTACAAGAAACTAACATACATAAACAGCAAGCCCCAGCCATGAAGTATTGAGGCTATTAAAACCATCAACTCCATTCTGTATCAGTTTGTAGAAATACAAAAGATTTATCATGACCTCCTCCACCATGCACTTAAAATCATCAGCTAACTCTGTGGGATAGGATGCATTTCTGAATCTGATCGTGCCCGGGTTATCAGAACCACAATATCACAACCACTTAACTGGCATCTGAAAGTAACTTCCAGATTTCTCAAAATAGTGACACTTAATGAACTCTGCAGAGGAGACTCAGTCGTCTCTGAGGAGCAACTTATTTTTACTTATTATCTTTAACTATGACAATTGATCCTTGACACTCTTCAGGAACACATCAGGAAACAGAGAAATTTGGATGGGATGATATAAAGCTTCTTTGAAAAGATATTCGAAGAAGCTTCTAAATGAAAAAGAGGTTCATCATGGTGCATCAGAGCATAATTTAACAAGACAGATCAGAGATTCTATAGAAACAAAAAAAAACCACAAACATATCCAAGGTAGAGGCCACCAGATTGGCCTGAGATTGTGTGCCAATGTGTTTAATGGCTCATCACAATAGAAAATTGCTACGAGGCTAAATTAGCAACCTGTCTACTATTTGAAGGAACATGGCATCGAATGTGGAATTCTGCCTCCTTAAATATGAACAGCCAAATCTTAAGAGTTCAGAGCACTGGATACAAGTGCATCATAAAATAGGAAGGATGCTGTGAAACTAGAAAGGAATCAGAAAAGATTTACGAAGATGTTGCCAGAGTTGAAGGGTTTGAGCTTTAGGGAGAGTCTGAATAGGCTGGGGCATTTTTTCCCTGGAGTGTTGGAGGCTGAGGGGTGACCTTATAGAGGTTTATAACATCATGAAGGGCATGGATAGGGTAAATAGGCAAGGTCTTTTCCCCAGCGTAGGGGAGTCCAAAACTAGAGAGCATAAGTTTAAGGTGAGAGGGGAAAGATTTAAAAGGGACCTGAGAGGCAATTTTTTCACACACAGAGTGGTGCGTGTCTGGAATGAGCTGCCAGAGGAAGTGGAGGAGGCTGGTATGATTACAGCATTTAAAAGGCATCTGGATGGATATATGAATAGAAAGGATTTAGAGGGAAATGGGCCAAATGCTAACAAATATGTAGGATTTATATAGGATATCTGGCTGGCATGAATGAGTTGGACCGCAGGGTCTGTTTCCATGCTGTATATCTCTATGGCTCTATAAAAATCAGAACATTTCCATTTAATTCTTGGTCAATCCTGATTTAGCTGATCGGAATCTGAGTGTGTTGGGGTTTCGTTATTTCAATGCAACGTTATTGGTTCAGAGAAAGAATAATCAACTAAAATTCCTGATTCTAATCACTATAAAGGTGGCAGCCTGGCATCACTTATTGTTTATGCTCACAATACAGAACAGTCACTTAGGACTGCTATTTGAAGATGCTTTGAAATTAAAAAAAGGTATTGAGAAGGGAAGAAAGCTTTATGGATGGAAGAGAAAAGAAAGAAAAAGTTCAATCATGGAAATTTGATAAAGTGTATTATAATCACTATGGACCCTTACTCCTACTACTTACACTGCAGTACTGCATAACACAGATCCACCCGAGTTTCGGGATATAAATTAAGAACTTACAACTTTTAAGATAACAGAAAAAGCAGTATCAGCTATTACAGGAGTTTAGTACTTCACCAGGATCTGCTTGCTGCACAAATGAATCCTATGAGAAAGGCAAACATTACTGAGCAGCTACATTAATATAAAGTTATATTACGTAGTTAAAGTTTGGGATCTTCCATGATACTTTCAGTGACATGACTATTTGTCTCATCAACAAATAAGTAACCACCTCTAAACTATGAATCAAACATTTTTCTTAACAGTAACCTTTAAATAAATCACTGTTAGGAACTGCTTCCCAAGAGGAACCACTCCCAGGATGAAGGTTTCCTTCTTCAAGTATTACCTATCTCAATCCTTTATCTCATACACAGATGTTACCCATCTCCATCCTTTCTTGTCTCGTTTTTGACCTATTAAAATCAATACTTCGATAAATATGTTTGTAAATTTTACAAGTAGGGGAGAAGCATTCTGTTTAGAAAGATATGACATTCCCTAGACAGAAACAAAATTAATAAATTGATTCACTGAAAAAAGTAGCACGATTGATCTAATTTACATCTCCTTCAGATTTCCTTTTCTGGTGAAAGGACAAACTCCAAATAGTAATAAAAAATGCATTGGCAAGCCAAGCATTTTGACCTGTCCAGAAAGACCATTATAGGTAACTATAATCCTTAACATTTTCTCCAAGATAAAGTAGACAAGTCCTCACAATGGGCTGTACTTTCCTCCATTTGTTCTTCTCAGTAAACAGTCACTGAGTAAAATAATAGAATCACAGAATCCCTACGTTCCAGAAAGAAGCTATTCCAGCCCATCAAGTCTACACCAACCGTCCAAACAGCATCCCACCATTCCCACATTTACCCTGGCTAACCTCCTAGCCTGCACACCCTTGGAAACTACGGGCAATTTAGCATGGCCAATCCACCTAACCTGCACATCTTTGGACTACGGGACGAAAATGGAGTACCTGGAAGAAACCCACACAGACGTGAGGAGAACATGCAAACTCCACACAGACAGTCACACGAGACTGGAATTGAACATGGGTCCCTGGTGCTGTGAGGCAGCAGTACTAACCACAGAGCCACCGTGCCGTCTTTTTGGAAAACAAAATTGATTAATCATTTGGGAGGGGATGGAGACAGTAGAACACAGGAGTGAAGATTAGGCTAAGAAAGGTGGAAGGAATAAGATTTTGAATGTTAAAAACAATGTCAGATGTTAAATTGTCTCGGATGTTAAAATGAACTTCGAGCTCTGCTGAACAATACCAACTTTAAGAGCATGCTGTACACAAGTGATTTCTTTCTTCCTACTTTGCATTAGCAACAGTGATTGAGTTTTCCGGCGGGTGCATTGAAAATGTGAAAATCACATTATCTTCTTGCATTAACTCAGTTTCATTATTTCTACTCCAAAGCAGGGTGAACCTCAACTTGGCACTACTGTCTTTTTCTTATGGGAATATGAATGGATGGATTCGCCCATCACCTTTATGGTTATTAGGCCCATAAAATATGGCCATTTTACTGGCTCCAGTGGCTACTCAACTGACTCCTTTTCCAAAGTGGCCCCATTGTCTATTAGTGTGTGTTGCAGTAAATTCCTGAAACAGGTTTAATTCTGACAACTCAACATGCAAGAACCCTTCGATTTTTATACCACTGTGATTGTAACATTTAAAGTCAAAACACTAACAACTCATTCCAACTATGGTATGGAGTGGGGTAAGATAGGATGGGGTGGAATGGGACTTAAACAGTTGAGTTGTGTAAAATAAACCAACACTCACCGTTTCACAGATTGTGTTGGGAATTGGACATTATAGAGTCATAGTCTTGGAGTTTCACAGTACGGAAACAGACCCTTTGGTCTAACTCATCCATGCCAACCAGATATCCTAAATTAATCTAGTCCAATTTGCCAGCATTTAGTCCATATCCCTTTAAATCCTTCCTTACTCATGTACCCATCAAGATGCCTTTTAAATTACCTCAAGATCTCAGGACAGGGCATTAAGATATGCCCTCCAGCAAAAACGAACACATTTAATTTAACTATTCAGGTTAACTTATCGTGAGAAAACATTTAGATTATTGAAGTGCCATATTAATGTCAGAGAAGACATAAACACATTGACCCCTGTATGCCAGCTTGTGCAATAAATTCATTGTCTGAAGACAGGAATCTCTTGTGTCATTAAAAGCTCCGATAACTTACTGAGCTTTTAAGTTAGTGTCTACAGGCAAGATACAAACATGTAAACAACTCTGAAGTGAGTCTGATACTTGGAAATCCTGCATTCAGATGTTACACAACAAAGAATTTTATCAGTTTCTTGCATCATCAGCGAAGGGCAGGATTAAAAAAAGATGAGTTTTGTTGCATGGTGTGTGCAGACGTAGAATGATTAAAACACATGTTAAAAACACAGTTTTTAATACAATGCTATTCAGTAAAACAGCTAGAATATCTACCATCTCAGCTTACAGAATTTAGCTACAAAATAGATATCTACAACAGACATGACGGGTTGAATGGCCTCCTATGTTTCAATGTTAATACGAAAGTTGACCTGTGACATAAACAATCTAAAACATCAATAAATATGGCTGCATATTTTAAACTGAGAAAGCAGAGTGAAGAATGCTTTACCTGTAGACCACAACATCCAACTGCATTTAATATGGAAGCATTGTGTACAACGTGGTACTGAATTCCTGCCTTTACAGCCCGCAGAACTAGATCACTATGTGTTGTCGCCCTATAGGAAATCATTAAGAATGTTGGAAATTAGAAGTACAATTGTGACACAATTAAACTTACAAAAGATCTCACACCCTGTCCCTGACCTAATTCAGGCTCCAGCAGTAATCTACTGCATGGCTCCATACAATTCCTTCATAAATTGGAGGTAGCACTTTTTGCTTTCAAGGTTTTAAATTACTATTTTATTTCCTCCTTTCCTTGTTGACGGTCTCCCTCTGTTACATACTGTGTACAGCAGGCAATCTGTTCTAAGGTTTCTCCTATTGCTATTTTAAAACAGCAGCAGGGCAGATTCTTCTACCTCCCTCTGGTGAATTTCTTGGGACATGCACAGTGCTCCCTCCCACGTGACATTATGAATTCAAGTTAATGCCAACCTTTGCTTGTGCAGAATTTTGGTGTTCTGTGTTAAGTTTGAATAATACATTGTATGTTGTGCAGTTTTGCTTTAATCACCTTTGGAAAAGAGGAAATTTCTACAGAAATGAATGGGACACAATTCATGATTGTACAGTTGGGGAAACTGCCTTTTCTCATTCCATTTTTTCTAAAACTCAGAAACCTAGGCGAAAGCCCAAGGACCATAATGCAGGACACCATTATGGCAACATAATTAAGGGATAAGATGAGGGCAATCAACAGAACATATACGTGGATGATTTCAATATTGGATAATTTGTCAGGAGAACATGTTACTTATTTTCACAGAAAGGCTTCCTTTGGTTTTAACGAAACCTTTCTGATGTTAATACTAATTTATGGTGGATGCTAAAACACATGTGTTTCCAAAGAATGTGACAACTTACTGCCCACATCTGCACACCTGTCAGTTATAATTTGTGAAACTATCAGTTTCAAACACTGTCGTTTCATTTCAGTAGCTGGGGCTTGACCAGACACATCCTGGACAGATGCACAAAGATAATTGTGCTTCATTCATACAAATGAGTAAGCATTCTTGCAGCCATCCCATTCATGAGTATTAATACTAGCAGCATTTTATTGACCAAAATAACAATCTTATCCCTTAATTATGTTGCCATAATGGTGTCCTGCATTATGGTCCTTGGGATTTTGCCTAGGTTTCTGAGTTTTAGAAAAAATGGAATGAGAAAAAGCAGTTTCCCTAACTGTACAATCATGAATTGTGTGCCATTCATTTCTGTAGAAATGTGGCAATTTTCTTTTACATAATCAATTGCATCATTTAGGGCACAATTTCCTTTTTCAGAATTCCAGGTCAGATATTTTTCTTGTAAAAAATAGCCTGTATGTATAAGTCATATCTTTTATACAGTTGAGGGAATGAAGTTTCACACAAACACTTGTTAGCTTCGTGTTTAAATCTTGGTTTTTAATTAGTATTCCCTTGCAGCCATCATGGGTAATGAGCCTACATTAAAATCCTGGAGATACCAGTTGCATAAAAATAGGCAACAGTTCTCATTTTGTTGCATTCCAGTATTACAATGGAATTTTTATTGAAACAATTCAAAGTTCTCCTTTCCAGACAACTCAATGATCATTAAATCTGGATCAGTTTCAGTTATACAAATGACTCCAGATACACGTGGTTCTTGTGAGATTACCATTGTCAGATGTGGGTACAGTGGAGAACACTAATTTCTTGATCAGAAGCAAGTACCGTATGGAATGGAACAATCTGAAAATTGTGTACTTTTCTTGAAAACTTTCTTTCAATGCTGAAATACAACTTTAATTTCTTACTGAAATCAGAACAGTTATTATTTTTGTGTGACTTGCATCTGGTTCACTTATGAATTGCAATGTAGCTCCATTTATTTCAGTGGATTAGTGCATAAAATGCTTAGATAAGGAATTAACTAGAAACAAAATGATACAATCATTTTTTCTTCATATTAATGATGGAATGTACAGCTTAACCTCCCCACACAGCTCTTTTTTCTGACCCAGCAATTAGCCTCACTGCTTTCCACTTAAACTTAGTCCAGACGATGGATAAATTACAGGGATATAGGAGAAAACTTCAAGAGCTAATGCCTACCCAAAGGGATCTCCTACCACAAGAAAGGCAACATCATTATCAGCAGCATCTTTCAAAATTTCATCAGCTTCTTGTTCGACCATCTCTCTTTCTGCAATGAGGAGTTCACGGCCATAAAATTCCTCCTGTAGATGAGAAAGAATTCAATTCTAATTAGTTGTAATTTATCCCTTCAGATAGCTGAGTACAAGACTGTTAAAAGGACCCATGTAATCTCCATTTTGGTTACCAAAATGCTTATATTTATGTTCTGAAGTCTCGAGACACAGCCAGTTGGAAGATGCTAAAGAGGTTATCACAAACCACTCGAGATCATTTTGTTTATCAGAAAATAAAAATTGACTCCTATTATCTGATTATTAAACAAATAATTCAAAGTCTGGTGGGATATCCATCCTATTTCATTGCAGAACTATTGGTCACAGTGTCTCCTATAATTTTTGGATAATAGGCAATGATGTAACCTGGTCTAATATGGTAGCAATCAAGGATATTGAGTAACCTCCCTCTGAAAAACAATCAGGATTGAGAATGCTGTTGAATTTTACTCTCCCTAAACCAGAGAGTACAAAAGCAATTTGCCATTCTCTAAAAACACATTGGGGAATATCAATTTACTCAGTAAAGAGCAGGGAATGCCAAATGACAATTTTTCATATCTTACGATGCAGTACTCAATGGCTTAACGATCAGCTGAAAGAAAAAAAAATACTTAAGTTGTTTATTTTCTTAAGATGTGAAGTGGTCATTTATGTGGTGATTCTTGGAATGAGCTGACTTTCCAGCATTCCATGCACCCTGGCAACCAAGGAGTAGAATAAAGAAATCCAACCCAGTAATGTTAGAGGAGCCTGCTCCACTTGGGAAGTTCAATTTGGAACAGTTCAAATATCATATTTAGGAGAGAAATCGTCGGAATACTAAAACAGGAAGGTATCAGCAAGAAGTTCTTTTGCAGTTCCTCAGGATTGAGGAAAGACTTGCTTCCATTCCAGCAGTGGGGGCTGGGGGAGTTCTGCAGTGGCTGAGTAGTCCACACACTGTCACAGATGGGGCAGGTAGTGTTTGATGGGAGGAATGCATTCTGGATTCTGTGCACTCTTTCCGCTGCTTGCGCTTGGTCTCCACATGCTCCACTCGGTGATGTTTGAAGTGATCCGTGCCTCTTCTCCAGTTTGTACGTTCTAAGGCAAGCAAATCCCACATGTTGGTGGATATGTTTATGGGGATATTTCAGTGCATCCTTGTAGCATTTCTTCTGCCCACCTAGTGATTGCTTATTATTGCAGAGCTTGGAGAAGAGCAGGTGTTCAGGGAGTTTTGTGACAGGCATTCAGCCTGTCTATCTCAGCTGGTCATGTGTGGATCTTGCTCTGAGAGAAGATGTTCACATTGGTATGCATATTCGCCAGTGGATTTGCAGGATTTTGCAAAGGCAGCGCTGGTGATTTGAGGTGTCTCCTGTATATAGTCCATGTTTCTGATGCACACAGAAGGGTGGAGAACCACAGCTGCTCTGTAAACATGAGCTAAATGCTGGGTTTGAGGTCTGTAAGGCCATAAGAAATTGAAACAGGAACAGGCCATTCAGCCCCTCAAGCCTACGCCACCATTCAATAGGATCGTGGCTGATCTGATGTTTCTCATGTCCATTTTCCTGCACTTTCTCCTTAATGCTTGATTCCACCATTGATCAATAATTTATCTACCTCAGCCTTAAATATACACAAGGACTCTGCCCTCACAGCTTACTGTGGCAAGAAGTTTCAAAGACTCAAAACGCTCTGACAGATGAAATTCCTCATCTCATAACTGACACCACTTTGTTCTGAGACTATACCTTCTGATCCTAGATTCCACCATGAGGAGAAACATTCTCTCAGCATTTACCCTGTCAAGTCCCTTAAAAATCTTGTGTTTCAATGAGATCACTTCTCATTCTTCTAAACACCAATGAGTGAGTCCCAACCTGTTTATATTTTGCTCATAAGATTATTCCTCTATACCATGGATCAGCCTAGTGAAGCTTTTCTGAAGCTTCTCAATGAATTTTTTTTTGGGGAGGGGGGGAGGGGAAGGTTCCCCAATTTACAACCATCCAACTTATGAAAACTCGTACTTGTGAGCACAAACTCACACAGGGATGTAATTTAAAGATATGACACATGTACATTTCCTATACTTATGAATGCTCCTTTATATTATCCTGTGTTGTGTTCTGACTTGTGCATCGACCTGTGAGCAGAGTCCAGAATGGAACCTGTTCACAATCTAGGGGTTGCTTGTAAGGTCTTCCCCTGACAGATGTGGTTTCACCAGCACCTTGTACAATTGCAGTAAGAAAGACTTCCCTACTCTTATACTCCAAACCCCTTAACATAAGGGTCAACATTCCAATAGCCATCCCAATTACCTGCTGCACTTGTGTGCTGCTTTTTTGTGTTTCATGCACAATTGCTGTCAAATCTTCAGGAGTGAGTCATACAGCCTGGAAACAGACTCTTCAGCCCAACCAGACCATGCCGACCAAGTTCCCAAACTGAATACTGATGAGCTCAGAAACACGATGGCTGTTTCATATATCTTTTCCACTGAATACAGCTAATACAGCAGAAACCAGGAACAGAATTTGAACATTCCTGATCTACATACTACAGTAAGGTGTTGCTATTTGACGTATTTCACAGATATAACCAATGAGGAAATTTACAGAATTATTTTGGTAAAGTTTGGTTATAATTTAGCACGTGAAAAAAGGAATAAACGAGCTGAAGAGTTTTGTGTCACACTATGATAAAATCTAGCCTTCACTCCCAAAGGTAAGTGATTTTTCAAGAAAATGATCACAGTTGTCTACTTACGTTAATGCAGTCACTTGCAGTTGAAAATATTTGAATTGTCCAGTAATTTGAATGAAATAAGTAAATGAAAAGTGCAAAAGATAGATTTTCTCCCATTGTGTTAATTAACATAATTCAAAAGAAGCAATTTTAAACTAAGGAATAGTTTATCTTCATTTTGAGTATCTTTCTTTGTTTATGTCATATTGTCTGTATAGTCACTTTGACAATGCAAATATAAAGTGCCGTGCACAGTAAACAACTGATTAAAAGTGTGCTAAATCTTTACTTCAAAACTATCATTTAATTGAATATGATTACGACGAATATCAGGAAAGGAAGATGGTGGTAATCTTGTTAAACTAGTAATACAGCACTCCAGACTAACATTCTAGGGACATGGGTTCGAATCCCACTTGGCAGATGGTGAAATTTCAATTCAATCAAATCGAGAATTAAAAGCTATTGTTCACTAATGCCCCTTAAGGAAGGAAATCTGTCATCTTTACCTGTCGGGTTTACCTGTGACTCCAGATTAGCAGCAACAGGCTTTTAACTGCCCTCTTACAGAGCCTAGCAAACTACTCAGTTGTATCAAACTGCTGTGAAGTTTAACCAAAGGAATAAAACCAGTCAGATCATCCAGCAGCAACCTAGGCACGTGAAATGACAAAGGTTATCAAAGCCCTGTCAACCCTACAAATTCCTCCTTACCAACTCCTGGGGGCTTTGCCAAAATTTTAGGAGCTATCCCAAATACTAGTCAAACAACTGCCTGACATAGTCACTCATGGATTTACACTTTACAATGTCCCAGTATCACGTCAGCATCCCTAAATATGTCTTATTCCACTAGAGATGGCTGTACAATCACAAGTCTGAGTCTCCACAACACTGACTCAGGCCCCATTAAGTCTCATGGCATCAGATCTAATACAAGCACGAAAACCTCTGGCTGGTTATCCCCTACGTCTCTCCCCCACCTTTGCCTGATAAAATCACCAGTGGGAGTAAGCAGTGAGTGTGGCTAGGTCACAAAATGTATTCTGGGGGGAGGACTTCAATGTCCATCGCCAAGAATGGCTTGGTAGCACCACTACTGACCAAGTTGGCTGAGTCCTAAAAGACATTACTGCTAATGGATCTGCAGCATGTGGTGAGGGAACCACTGAGAGGGAAAACTCTACTTGATCTCTGAGAGTTATGAATCTGTCACAGATGTTTTTGTCCATTATAATACTGGTAAAAATCTTCCCATTATGGATTCCATCCATAGTGTTTTGTTGCATTACAACTGTGGTCTTTTGAGATAGAAGTGACCTGTAAAAGAAGGACAGGTTGTACCTGAATTGGAAGGGGACCAATATCATGGCGGGAGATTTGCTAGTACTACTGAGGAGGCTTTAAACTAATAACAGGGGTGAATGGTTCTGGTGGTGGCGGGAGGGGGGAAAAGAGAGAACCCAGAGAGATAGTCAGAAAACAGTCAAGTCTGAGGCTGGTAGTTAAGAAGAGCAGCAAGTCAAATATTCAAGGCAGGCAAGAGCAAGGCAGAGAACGAGGTAGGACTGATAAATTTAACTGCATTTATTTCAAAGCAAGAGGCCTGACGGATAAGGCAGATGAATTCAGGGGATGATTGGGAAACTTGGGACTGGGATATCATATCTAGTATAGAAACGTGGCTCAGGGAAGGGCAGGTCTGGTAACTTTATGTTCTAGGCTACAGATGCTATAGGAAGGATAGAAAGGGGGGGGCAAAAGAGGAGGGGAAGTGGTGTTTTTGGTAGGGATATCATTACGGCTGTACTTAGGAATGATATTCCTGGGAGTACATCCAGTGAAGATATTTGGGCAGAACTGAGAAATAACAACGGGATGATCACATTATTGGGATTGTACCATGGGCTCCCCAATTGTCAGCGGGATATTGAGAAGCAAATTTGTAAGGAGACCTCAGATATCTTTTAAGAATGATAGGGTTGTAACGGTAGGTGATTTTAACTTTCCAAACATAGATTGGGACTGCCATAGTGTTAAGGGCTTTGATGGAAAGGAATTTGTTAAGTGTGTACAAGAAATTTTCTTATTCAGTATGTGGATGTACCTACTACAGAAGGAGAAAAGCTTGATATTCTCTTGGGAAATAAGACAGGACAAGTGACTAATGTGTCAGTAGGGGAGCACTTTGGGACCAGTGATCATGATTCTATTTGTTTTAATGTAGTTATTGAAAAAGATAGACCTGATCTAAAACAACAAGGTGCAGGGCTGGATGAACACAGCAGGCCAAGCAGCATCATAGGAGCAGAGAGGCTGACGTTTCGGGCCTAGACCCTTCATCAGAAAAGGGGGAGGGGAAGGGGGTTCCGAAATAAATAGGGAGAGAGTGGGAGGCGGATAGAAGAGGGATAGAGGAGAGGATAGGTGGAGAGGAAACAAACAGGTCGAAGAGGCGGGGATGGAGCCAGTAAAGGTGAGTGTAGGTAGGGAGTTAGGAAGGGGATAGGTCAGTCCAGGGAGGACGGACAGGTCAAGGGGGCGGGATGAGGTTGGTCGGTAGGAGATGGAGGTGCGGCTTGAGGTGGGAGGAGGGGATAGGTGGGAGGAAGAACAGGTTAGGGAGGCAGGGACGAGCTGGACTGGTTTTGGGATGCGGTAGGGGGAGGGGAGATTTTGAAACTTGTGAAATCCACATTGATACCATTGGGCTGCAGGGTTCCCAAGCGGAATATGAGTTGCTGTTCCTGCAACCTTCGGGTGGCATCGTTGTGGCACTGCAGGAGGCCCAGGATGGACATGTCGTCTGAGGAATGGGAGGGGGAGTTGAAATGGTTCGCGACTGGGAGGTGCAGTTGTTTATTGCGAACCGAGCGTAGGTGTTCTGCAAAGCGGTCCCCGAGTCTCCGCTTGGTTTCCCCGATGTAGAGGAAGCCACACCGGGTACAGCGGATGCAGTATACCACATTGGCAGATGTGCAGGTGAACATCTGCTTGATGTGGAAAGTCTTCTTGGGGCCTGGGATGGGGGTGAGGGAGGAGGTATGGGGGCAGGTGTAGCACTTCCTGCGGTTGCAGGGAAAAGTGCCGGGTGTGGTGGAGCTGGAGGGGAGTGTGGAGCGGACAAGGGAGTCACAGAGAGAGTTGTCCCTCCGGAAAGCAGATAAGGGTGGGGAGGGAAAGATGTCTTTGGTGGTGGGGTCGGATTGCAGATGGCGGAAGTGTCGGAGGATGATGCGTTGGATCCGGAGGTTGGTGGGGTGGTACGTGAGGACGAGGGGGATTCTTTTTTGGTTTTTATTGCGTGGACGGGGTGTGAGGGATGAGGTGCGGGAGATGTGGGAGACACGGTTGAGGGCGTTCTCGACCACCGAGGAGGGGAAGTTACGGTCCTTGAAAAACGAGGACAACTGAGATGTACCACTCTCTCCCTATTTATTTCAAAACCCCCTTCCCCTCCCCCTTTTCTGATGAGGGTCTAGGCCCGAAACGTCAGCCTCACTGCTCCTATGATGCTGCTTGGCCGGCTGTGTTCATCCAGCCCTGCACCTTGTTGTCTCGGATTCTCCAGCATCTGCAGTTCCTACTATACCTGATCTAAAAGTTGAAGTTCTAGACTGGAGTAAGGCCAATTTTGATAGTTTTAGGCAGAGTTTTCAAAAGTTGATTGGGAGAGGCTATTCACAGATAAAAAGATGGTTGGAAAGTGGAAGGCCTCCAAAAAAAAAAGAGATAATGAGAGTCCGGAGGAAATATAGTCCTGTTGGTGTGAAGGACAAGGTGGTAGGTGGTAAATGTGGGGAATACTGAATGACTAGAGAAACTGAGGCTCTAGTAAAGAAAAAGGAGGCATATGGCAGGTATATAGACAGCTGGGATTGAGTGAAAACATCAAGGAGTAGAAGGGCAGTAGGAGTACACAAGCGAGAAATCAGGAGGGCAGAAAGAGGACATGAGATAGCTTTGGCAAAAAAAGGTTAATGAGAATCCAAAGAGATTCTACAAATGCATTAAGGGCAAAAGGGTACCTAGGGGGAGAATAGGGCCCCTTAAACAGCAACAAGGCTGTGTGTGGAACCACAGGAGATGGGTGAGATATTATTTTGCTTCAGTATTTACTGTGGAGAAGGATATGGAAGCTGGAAAACTTGAAGAAATAAACATCAAGCTTTTCTGAAGAAGGATCCCGACCCAGAATGTCAACTTTCCTGCTCTCTGATGCTACCTGGCCTGCTGTGTTCCTCCAGTCCACACTGTGTTATATCTTGAAAAGTGTCCATATTACAGAGGAGACGGTACTGAATGGTTTAAAACACAAAGGTGGATAAATCCCCAGAACCTGATCAAGTGTATCCTAGAACTTTGTGGGAAGCTAGGGAAATGATTACCGGGCCTCTTGCTGAGATATTTGTACCATCGACGGCAACAGGTAAGCTGCTGGAGGACTGGACAGTGGCTGACATGGTGTCATTATTTAAAAAAGGTGATAAGGAAAAGCCAAGAACTATAGACCGGTGAGCCTGATGTCAGTGGTGACTAAGTTTTTGGAGGTGATTCTGAGGGACAGGATTTACATGTATTTGTAAAGGCAAGGAATGATTAGGGATAGTCAACATGGCTTTATGCATGGGAAATCGTGTCTCACTAACTTGACTGAATTTCACGAAGAAGTGACAAAGATGATTGATGAAAACAGAGTGGAGGATGCTGTCTGTGTGGACTTCACCAAGACATTTGACAAAATTCTGCATGGTAGACTGGTTAGCAAAGTCAGATCACACAGAATCTGGGGACAGCTGGCCCTTTGGATTCGAGATTAGCTTGAAGGTAGGAGACAAAGGGTGGTGCTGGTGTAAGGTTGTTTTTCATACTGGAGGCCTGTGACCAGAGGTGTGTTGTAAGAATTAGTGCTGAGTCCACTGCTTGTTGTCATTTATATAAATGACTTGGATGTGAATGTAGGAGGAATGGTTAGTTTGCAAAATTTTTGGTGTAATGGACAGTGAAGAAGGTTATCTCAGAGTACAACAGGACCTTGATCAAATGGGCTGATGGGCCAAGGAGGGGCAGATAGTGTTTAATTTAGATAAATGTGAGGTGTTGCATTTTGATAAGGCAATCAGAGCAGGACTTATACACTTAATGGTAGGGTCCTGGGGAGCACTGCCAAACACACACACCCTGGAATGCTGGTTCGTAGTTCTTTGAAAGTCAAGTTGCAGGTAGACAGGGTAGAGAAAAAGGCATTTGGTACGTTTGTTTTATTGGTTAGTGCATTGAGTATAAAAGTCAGGATGTCATGTTACAGCTATACAAGACATTGGTTAGGCCACTTCTGAAATATTTTGTTCAATTCTGGTCTCCCTGCTATAGGAAGGACATTGTTAAACTTGAAAGGGTGCAGAAAAGACTTGCAAGGATGTTGCCAGGGTTGGAGGGTACAAGCTATAGGGAGAGGCTGAATAGGTTGGGGCTATTTTTCCTGGAGCATCAGAGGCTTATAAAATCATGACAGGTATAGATAAAGGTGAATAGCCAAGGTCTTTTCCCGAGGGTAGAAACTAAAGGGCACAGGTTTAAGGTGAGAGAGCTAAGATTTAAAAGGGGCTTGAGGGGCAACTTTTTCATCCAGAGGGTGGTGCATATATGGATTGAGCTGCCAGAGGAAGTGGTAGAAGAAGGGCACAATTACAACATTTAAGAGACATTTGGACAGGTACATAGATAGGAAAGGTTTACAGGGATATGGGTCAAACACAGGCAAATGGGACTAATTCAGTTTCGGAAACTTGGTCAGCATGGACGAGTTGGAACAAAAGGCCTGTTTCCGTGTTGCATGACACTATGAACTTCAAATAGCTGGCAATCAGTAAAAACAAAAATGTGGCATTCATGTGACGTTTAACCTGGGTTTTCTGAAATAGAACACTCCTTTACTAAGTTTAACAATTTATATACTATATGTTAGCATTCTCCCAGATGTAACCTTGTGATGAATGCAGAGATGGTGCAAAGTACAATTCTCATCATCGTTGGCCCTTTATGGAAACACGTGCAATGACAGACAACTCAGCAGTAAGTTTTCATCGTTTGATGTTGGGATCATTTGCTAACCGTACATCATAGGAACACTATAATTAGCTCAGTAGGAGCAGTGCATTAGAAAAGATGAGGATTTGCTGGCTATACTGGGCAGACCTACCAGCACTTCCTTGCCGACAGTCAGGAGGGAGGTGTAGGCCTCCAGGTAGACCCGGCTGCAGCTCCTCACAATTTCCAAACCTTTCACTGTGATGTCCCGGGCATCCCCCAGGCCCAGGCCGATCAAATACAACATTCTCCGTAATCTGCAACTAAACGGACACCATTAAACGTCACTTTCGCTGCCGACTCCTTCCACACAGCAGCCTGCCGCCATCACCATGGCAACAAACTCCCCGGTTTACGGCAAGACCCCCAATCCAGCCACCGGCACTTCACAGCGTTTTTACGACGATGTCACTCAAGAGGCGGAATTCCTGCTGGGCAGAGGGTGAATGAACTATTAGTTCACAAGTATAAATCTGGGGATGGATACGTTTGCGGGGCCTAGGATTCCGAATGTGGAGCTAGTGAATGGGTTGAAAATCCCAATACTCGGTCTTGGTGAGTTACTGAATGTGTCTGATTGCAGTAACCTGACCAAACTCCAAAGAGTGCCTCACACCAAACCATGGTCAAATCGTTCCTGCAGCAAGCTTAATATGTGACCTTACTTTAAGTACCTAAGTCTACAAAGTATAAACCCCAGTCCTGACGTTGCACAGCACCTGATTACTAATATTCTCTCCTCGTCATTCATTGGGTGTAGGTGACACTGACAAGAGCAGAATTTAAAGGCTATTCCTCTTGACAAATGTCTTAGCACCTGCTACAGGCCCAGTTTACCTCCTTCAGAACTCGACCAGCTTCAGAAGAAATAATGATGTAAAACACTTGTTGATGGAAGTCCCCACCCAGAGTACCAATGATGCCTTTAATTTTTCTTCCAAATATTATTCAACATTGAGGAGTAGAGTCAAATCGCACAGAAAGAGACCCTTTATTCCAACCAGTCCATGCTGACCATAATCCCAAGCTAAAATAAAAATCATACAGTCAGGGTCAGAGGTGTACGGGATGGAAAAAGTCCTTTCGGTTCAACTTGTCCATGCTGACCAGGTTTCCCAAACTGAACTAGTCCCATTTGCCGGTGTGAGGCCCATATTCCCACCAAACCTTTCCTATTTATGTATCTGTTCAAATGTCTTTTAAATGTTGTAATTGTACTGCCTCTACAACTTCCTCTGGCAGCTCATTTCATATACGCACCACTTTGTGAGAAAAAGTTGCCTCTCAGATCCTGTTAAAATCTATCCTGTCTCACCTTAACTCTATGCCTGCTAGTTTAATTAAAAATAAAACTTCCCTCACACCGACCCCACCTGGGACAGGGATGGTATGGGGTTTAAATAAAAGTCGCCATTGGCTCTTCCAAGGAATCCAAAATCTATACAGAAGAAAAATAAAACAGGCCTTTGCTGGAAAACAACATTCAACAACCATCCTCTGTCTCCCACTGTGAAGTTAATTTTGTATCCAATTGGCTAACTCTCTTCGTATCCCACGTGATCTAACCTTATTAAAAAGTCTTGTCATGCAGTATCCTGTCGAAGACCTTGCTAGAACTCACGCAGACATGGTCTACCCGCACTGTCTTCATCTATCTTCTTGGTCACCTGTTCAAAAAACTCAACCAAATTTGAGAGACACAGTTTCCCATGCACAAAGCCATACTGACTATCCCCAATCAGTCCTTGCTTTTCCAAATGCACGTATATCTGGTGTCTGTAAACACTCTGACGTGAGGCTCACTGACCTGTAGTTCCCTGGCTTTACCTTGCAGCCTTTCTTAAATAAAGACGCAACATTAGCCAGCCTCCAGTCTTCCTGTAGTTCATTGGTGGCTGTCAATAATAGAGATATCTCCACTAGGCATCCCACAATTTCTTCCCTAGCATGCAAAAATATCCTGGGATACACCCTAGTCAGGTCCCATGGAATTATCCCTTTTTGCACCTCCTCTTCTGTAATGTGGACTCTTTAGACAACATTATTTACTTCCTGGAGTTCCCCAGCTTCCATGTCTTTCTCCATGGTAAATATTGACGAGAAATATTTGTTTAGGATCTCACCCCTCCCTTTTGTTTTCACACATTGACGACCTTATTGATCTTTAAGGTGCCCTATTCTCTCCCTAGTAACTGTTTTGCCCTTAATATTTTTGTAGAATCTCTCTGGATTATCTGCCAAAGTTATCTCATGTACCCTTTTTGCCCTCCTGATTTTCCTCTTAAGTGTACTCCTAAACTTCAAGGGATCCACTTGGTCCCAGTGGCCTATACCTGGCATATGCCTCCTTCATCTTGATCACAGCCTCAATATCGCGAGTCATTCAGTGATCCCTACTCCTGCCAGCTTGGTCCTTCACCTAATAGGAACATGCTGACCTTGAACTCTCATTATCTCACTTTTGAAAGCATCCCACTTGGCCAGTCATCCCTTTATCTGGGAGCAGCCTCCCCCAATTAACTTTTAAAAGTTTCTGTCTATTAACATCAAAATTGGCCTTCCCCCAATTTAGAACTTTAACTTGTGGACCAGACCTATTCTTTTTTCATAACTATTTTAAAACTAAAAAAATTATGGTCACTGATCCCAAGTGCACCCAATTAACACCTCTTATTTGCCCTGCTTATTTCCCAAGAGGAGACTGAGTTTTGTCCCTTCTGTAATAAGGCCATCTATATGCTGATTGAGAAATTTTTCCTGAATACACTTAAATTCCTCCCTATCAATCTCCTTAATGCTATTGCAGTCTCAGTCTACAGAGTCATAGAGTTCTACAGCATAGAGACAGGCCCTTCAGCCCAAACTGGTCCATGCTGACCAAAATGTCCATCCACGCTAACCCCATTTCCCTGCATGGCCCGTATCCTTCTAAGCCTTTCCTAATTATGTATTCATCCAAATGTCTTTTAAACGTTGTTAATGTCTCCACCTCAACCACTTCCGCTGGCAGCTCATTCCATACCACTGTGTAAAATAGTTGCCCCTCAAGTTCCCATGTGTTCTTTCTCTACTTACCTTAAACTGATGCTCTTTAGTCCTCAATTCCCCAACCCTGAGAAAAATACTGAGTGCATTCACTCTATCCATGCCTCTTATGATCTTATACACTTCTATAAGATCACCCTCTTAGTCTCCTACGCTCTAATGAAAAAATTCCTAGCTTGTCCAACCTCTGCCTATAACTTAGGCCTTTGAGTTATGGCAATATCCTTGTAAATCTCTTCTGCATTCTTTCCAGTTCCATAACTTTCTTCCTATAGCAAGGTGACCAAAACTGAACACAATACCCCAAGTACGGCCTCACCAATGTCCTGTACAACTGCAACACAACTTCCCAACTTCTATACTCAGTGCCGTGACTCATGAAGGCCAGCGTGCCAAAAGCCTTCTTCACTGCCCTGTCTACCTGTGATTCCACTTTCAGAGAACCGTGCACCTGAACTCCAAGGTCCTTCTGTTCCACTACACTCCTTAAGGCCCTACCATTCACCATGAAACTCCTACCTTGACTTGACAAGATGCAACACCTCACACTTATCCACATTAAACTCCATTTACCATTTCTCAGCCCACTTCTAAGTCTGGAAAGTTAAAATCCTCTACTATTACAACCCTATTATTCTTACAGCTATCTTCAGTCTCCCTATATATTTGCTCCTCGATTTCCAGCTGATTATTGGAGGGCCTATCAAAAGTGAGCATCCCCTTCTTAGTTCTACCAATATAGTTTCACTGGATGATCCCTGAGGAATATCCTCCTTAAGTACAGCTGTTATGTTTTCCCTAATGAAAAATACCACTCCCCCTCCTCCCTTGCTTCCCCTTCTACCATTCCCATAGCATCTGTACCCCAGAATGTTGAGCTGCCAGATCTGGCCCTACTTCAACCATGTTTCTGTAATAGCTGTGATATTCCAGTCCCATGCACCCATCCATACCCTGAGTTCATCTGCCTTGCCTGTCAAGCCTCTTGCATTGAAATAATTACAGTCTTGCCTTGTTCCCTGCCATTTTCTTGCCTGTCTTGTCTCTTTAACTTGCTCCCTTTAACTTCTGTACTAGCGTCAACCTTCTCTTTTGTCTCACTACTCTTTAGGTTCGCCAACCATTCTGCCCTCCTTCCAGACTAGTTTAAACCCTCCCAAGTAGCCCTAGCAAATCTCCCGACCGGGATATTGCTCCCCTCCAGTTCAGGTGCAGCCTGTCCCTCTTATACAGGTCACCTCTGCCCCAGAAGAGATCCCAATGATCTAAAAACCTGAATCCCTGTCTCCTACACCAGCTCCTCAGCCATGCATTCATTTGCCCTATCCTCCTATTCCCACTCTCACAAACATGTGGCACTGGGTGTAATCCAGAGATTACTACCTTTGAGGTCCTGCTTTTTTACTTCTTGCCTAGCTCCCTATGTTCCCTCTGCAGGACCTCATCCCTTCACTGCTGGTCCCAATGTGTACAATGACCTCTGGCTGCTCACATTCCCCTTTGAGTAATTGCTGCAACTGCTCCGGAGACATCTTTGACCCTGGAACCAGGTGGAGGCTTGGCACCATCTTGAAATCTTGATCTCAGTTGTAGAAACCCCTGACCAGAGAGTCCACTATCACAATTGCTCGTTTGGATTTTGCCATACCCTGCTTTGTAGCAAGGCCAGTTGTGGTGCCAAAGACCTGGCTGCTGCTATTTTCCCCTGAGAGGCTACTCATCCTCAGCATTATCAAAACGGTATACTTGTTTGAGAGGAAATAGCCAAAGAAGACTCTTGCACTACCTGCCACCCCTTGTGTTCATCCATCTGCCTGACTGAACCTATGGTGTGACCACCTCCCTGAAGTTACTATCTATCATGCCCTCTGCTTTGTGTATGCTCCTCAGCATGCCCAACTGCCACCCAACTGATCTATGCAGTCTGAGAGGAGCTGCAGCCAGACACACTTCCTCAGCAGCGGGAAGGCAGTAGTTTAATATCATGCTGGGGCATCTTAGAAAGGTACTCATGGGTAGGGAACTGGAGAGACAGTTGAGTCTGGGCTGTTGGTAAGATTACTCTTTTATTTAACATGCTGCTAACTATTTACACACTTAAGTTTAGCACAAGGGTGTTCATGGGATCATCTTTCTCCAGAGTCTATTCTCATGTGATCTGTTTCTTTGCTTCTAATGCGGATTGACTACTTACATATTTGAATATCCATCACCTCCCCCCAGCCTTTGTCTCATCTCTTGCTGTCAGAGGTAAGCACCGTTGTGGTTTCATCAATCTCCTTGCTCTTGCTGTCTGTTTGTGGAGGTTCAGGATCTAGAGTCATAGAGATGTATGGCACAAAAAGAGATCCTTCGGTCCCACTCATCCATGCCGACCAGATATCCTAAATTAATTTAGTCCCATTTGCCAGCATTTGGCCCATATCCCTCTAAACCCTTCCTATTCATACACCCATCCAGATGCTTTTTAAATATTGTAATTGTACCAATCTCCACCATTTCTTCTGGCAGCTCATTCCATACGTTCATCACCTTCTGCATGAAAAAGTTGCCCCTTAGGTCCCTTTTAAATCTTTCCCCTCTTACCTTAAACCTATGCCCTCTAGTTCTGGGCTCCTCTATCCTGGGGAAAAGACCTTGACTTTTCACCCTATCCATGCCCCTCAGGATTTCATAAACTTCTATAAGGTCATTCCTCAGTCTCCAAAGCTCCAGGAGAAAAGCCTCAACCTATTCAACCTCTTCCTATAACTCAAACTTTTCAACCATGGCAACATCCTTCTTGAAGTTTTTGTGTGTACTCTGCGAAACTGTTTGAATCTTCAGAGAATGTCATCTTTGTATAAAAGTTGACGTCCTGGATTTCAGGGTAGCTGATCCATTCCTTGAGGGTCTCTTTTTCATGATAATTGAAGTTCCTGTGTTTTTCCTGATAGCACAATTTTCTGTCTCCACACGATGTAATGTCAGTTATTGAGTTTTCTCTAGGATTGTGCCTTCCTGATTCTGATCCTGGATTCATACTAACTTTCCTGTCTGGAGCTCTGGTAAAGCACAAACTCTGTGATGTTGGTTGTAGTTTTGGTTTTGGCTTACTTGTTACTCCAACTTCCTTTCTTAAATTTCTGATCCATATTTGTTTGTAACTCTATATGTGGGAGATCTGTGACTGTGTAATCGTCTGCTCATCTGAAGTTTGTCTGGGGAGAGATTGTTTAACAATGGTGTGGCGTGATAACTCAGTAATGAAAAGTCCAAGTCCTCATTTATCATCAGCAGAGCTTTGATTGTTTTCACAACCTTCTCAGCCTCTCTGTTCTCTTGTAGGTATGTAGGCGAGCTGGTGTTATCTATAGACCCACAGACTCCGCAAGTTTTTGAAACATTCATTAGCAAACTGTGGGTCATTTGAATCAATTATATCTGGGATACCAGGCATTACAAAAGTTTTGATGAGTAAGGTGATAACAGCTTCCAATCCAAGTTCGTGCATATATTTAACCTCAAACCTTCTTGAGTAATGGTCAGCAATGATGAATATCCTTC